TCCCGACGTCCTAGCGCGAGCGACATTATCCGATTATTTCCGACCGCCATTTTCCACGGACCCACAATGCATCCTTCGATTGCGACGAGTCTCGATTGTATTTTCGTAAGTGATATTTGCTGAGAAAACTTTGGCCACTTCACTCTAATTGTTTCTCCCTTCCCGCGCCGTCGCGCGTACAGCGGAATCTGTCACGGTGAATAAATATCCCCAAATAGACGTACTGGTGGATGAATTCGCTCCATTTTCAAAGAATCGCGATATTTTCTTCTACGTTAACATACATTTTTAAACTCTCATTTTCTACTGGTAATCCCGAGTTCTCGAAAGAAATAATAGAACCTATAATACCATGAATTGCTCATAAAGCTTTCAAAAATCCATTATTGAATGTCGGGTTATCGCGAATTTTATCTTTTATATTTGTATATTAGTTGTCAAAATCTTCTTTCAGGGAGTCTCGAAACTAAACTATTATCCTAGGGCAACGAATATGATTTATTAACGTCTCTAAAGTTTGACGAGACGTTGTAATTAATTCTACGATGTTCAAGAGGTATTCCAGGCACTTTGCTCGCGCACATTTCCAGAATGTTTGCTAATAGGGTGCATTCACGGTTCGATGCGCAATATAATTATGGATAATTTGGAAAGAGCGGCCGTATGCGATCTACTTGTATATTTTCCACCGTCGAGCGCTACAAATCGGCAGTAAAGAGTAACGCAAGAGGGTTATTATCGGTCGTATAAATCGGTAACGCAATTAACGCTGGGTGTTAGGAGAAAATTACAAGTGTGTTATGGCTTATATATATATCGAATAAAATGCGGCCGATACGTACCGTTATTAGAGGACCGGCACCGTCCTGCATCGCAAGTTGCTAATTAGTTCGCCAAATGGACAAACCGTTTGCGGTAAAATTGGCTCAGTTATGTAATAAGTCCTCGTATATTGCAAGCTTCTAACGGACTTTGGCGGTTCTACGTAACCACCGTTTGTTCGTATTTCGATTTCTAATCGTTGAAAAGAAGGAACAAAGTGATATTTGCGCATTACTTACTCGATAATTACATGCAATTGTGTTTTCGCTGAGTTGAAAACAGAAACGTCACATTTTCGAACATCCCTGATTTAATTTTAAAAAAAAAGTTTATATATATCATCTAAGATAACGTTGATTAGATCAAACCGTCGTCAAACCGTGGAGAAGTATTTCGTTAAAATCGATACTTTGTTTAAATCACGCTACCTTTCATGATTGTGTCAAGGATTACTTCGGTTACACGTTTTCAGAATCGTGCTCGGCAACACGATGGCGAGGGTAGTTTCTGAGCTTACGTACGAGGGATTGCTGGTTATACGTCGGACGTTAAACCGGCTTGGAAATAGTTTCCGGAACTAATTTACTCGCGGGGGGTCAACGTCGTCGTCGACGCCGCCGCCGCCGCCGCCGCCGCCGCCGCTGCCGAACATCCTCTTTATATTTCACGTCCCGGCTATCGTCCTCGAAATCGCTGCGGTCGCGAAGAGAGAACTTTGAACACGGATATAACACCCGATTCATTCCCTGACTGCGAACCAATATTATCTTTGATCCGACGTCGTCAACCATAGTAACGCCTGGATATAGTTCGAATACCGAGAATTCCTATGCCATGTCAGACAGACGTATGATTACTCGCGATCGAATCAACGTACTGATGTTGCCATGTTTATCCTAATTTTATGATCGCCGGTGTGAAGCACTTTTTCTTCACATATGAAAATAAACTCTTTTATTTTGCTTGCAAATTATTAAATTATTTAGATATATTTTCTTTTTGAACAATTTCCTGTCTTACGCATTTAACATCACATTAATCACATAATTTTCTGTTTAGAGTATGTTGACTCTATTCTTCAAATTTAACAAGACATTTTCATCCTTTACATCCTAATTTAATCATCTCTTAATTTCAGGTGACGATTTATCCCTGTGTAACCGTGACTCCGACAAGGAGTAACTATCGAGGTACATGAAAGAAGGACATGAACTACTCGCAAGGTAAGCCAATTTCGAGATAACATTATGTTCTAAAATATAATGTGGAAATATATTTCCGTTCTCCTTCAGATACTAGACGATTTTACTTTACAAAAGAGACGCGTCACCGATATCTCCGTGTATCTATCGAATTCACCGAAGGTTTGTCCTCATCCGATTTCCAGCCCGGCCAAGTGAGCGGGCGGCGGTCTGAAACAGTTCGGAAATTCACTCAACTAATCAAATACCGCTAAAACCGCTAAACAAGTTAGGTTAGCAATCTACGTGCTCCGAATGGCAACTCCGAACTGCTGCGGCTGCGAAGCGCGAAAACGCTCGCGACTGCTTCCGCAATCCGCACGCCATCTTCGCCCTCTCATCCACTTACATTCCTTAACGAGGGGAAACGACTCGATGCAGACGTGTACGGATCGTCTAATAGACGGTCCAAGTTCCGCGATTGTAAGTTTTGACTTTGTCGTGTCCATCGTCTCATCATCGTCGGTACAAAAATCGATCGATAAACGTTGTAAACTCTTCAATTTGTGATCAAAAAGAATTACAATCACGAGATTCTTAACACAAAACGCAAATAAATTATTATTAATGTTTTATCGTCGTAGAAAATATTAAAATGTTGCAAGAAATAATTAAAAAAATAAAATAATAATTTAAATAGATTAATTTAAAAGAAAATAATTTAAAAAATATAAGATAACGATGATATCTCCTTTGGAAGATTTTATAATGCATTTTGCAATAATATTTTATTATGGTTTTCGATGCTTATATTTTTCTTTCAAACTAGTTTATCTTCTACAATTAAATAAATCAATGATTTGATGAGTTTTTTGTAGAATATATATACATATATATATATATATATATAAATGATATCCTAATTCTCTTTATAAATTGATAAAATCGCTCGGATTACGGAAAATGCACTCCATGTATACGCCGGATCAGATAGCCAATCAGTACATCTTGAGGGTGTAATGACACGTGCTGCCCTGGCAAGACGTTCTCTCTCCCTCTCGTGGATATTGTCCTAATTGTTCTCATATTTGACATCGGACGTTGTATCGTGTACCTGCTCGATAGAAGAGTTGGAGGGACATACTCATAATATCTAAGCATCTTTCTGGTCATTCACATGCAAATGTATGCTGAGTCGGCCATTAGGCTCTCCACGGATGAGCGGATCCATGCCGATGTACAGCGGATACTGATCCCTCGTTGCATCCTTTGTCCTTGCGATATCTTTTCAGCATTTTCGTCTCGTTTACTATTTTACGGAGGGATACCTTTCCGAATGAAAAAGAGCGTACAAATTAGTCGGATTGTTAGTGAAATCCATATTAACGAGACACACCGGTTCTCCCTCAGTGGAAAACGCACTCCGGATCCCCTGTTAATTCCAATCCCCAGTCTTCAACAACTCACAAAGAGGAGAGTCCCAGCGACAGCGCCCTGTATTTCTTTTGTTGCGGTAATACTCTCCACTAAACAAGTCCTGAATATTTTAAACATATTTCACAGAACGCACATAAATACCGTCCGAAAGAATATTTCTCGTCGTCGTGTACGACGAAAAGAGAAAAGCACACACGATTGTTGCGAATGAGAAATGAGAATAAATCATTCGTCCGTTTCGACCGCTTGACGATGTTAGACACAAACAAGAGAACTGATTAACCTCCATCATTGAAATGTACAAAAGAATAAATTAAGGTGAGACAATTGAATAGTGTAGAATAAAAACCAGTATTGTCTCCGCAGCTCTATATTTTTACAACTTTTTCAAACATCAAAAAGCGAAACGCGATCGATAATGTGCCTTGGATCGGTTTACTTGGGGATCGTCACAACCCCCCTCGTGCGGGAATAGCGCGATCGCAACTTCCTTTCGAGGGACGAAAAGGAAATGTAGAAAAGCCGATGCACACGGCCGCCGAATACAAGGCAGATAATGAATTTAGCCCGTTTTAAAGAGGTTATTGATGGAATCCATTCCCGGTCCTAAACGCATGGTCGATCGAGCGAGAGAGCCAGGGCCGTTAGACCATCCCCCGCGCTTTCTCTCACCCTTAACGTAATTGCGTATCTTTCTCTTTCTCCCATTCTCCCCCAGTCCCAGTCAAAGACGACTAAATATTTCCGCTCCGCAACATTTTCCCTATCTCGTTCGCGCCGAGCCGATATTTATTCAGGCGTTTACCCGAACCGTTCGCCGAACGAATATCCGCCGTAAACCAACGTTAGTGTCAAGAGTTATCGCGTAACACGGTCTCGACGAGTAGCGCGTTCGCGTGGCTACCATTTCATCCAATTTGCAGCGCTACGGGGTAGAGTGCATCGAATGGGTTGCATCGTAACGCGCGTCGCGTTTATCGATGTAAATTCACGGAGGAATTGTTCCCGAGCGTCAGCCAAAGCGAGATTATCTACTTGTTCATTGCGATAAATAACTCGTACAGGAACTATCCGTTTAACATCGCGCAACGGAACAAAATTAAATAAATTTTTTTTAGCCAGTGGCATGCGCGAGAAAAATTTCGCGCGATCAAAGACACATCGTGTTGAAAAAGTCTCTACGCTACAATATACTTCCTTCACTTGGCTGTCTAAAAAAAATTGACGCTAATTCACCTCCGTCTTATGAATTAACTTTCTATGCGACGTCTCGTGGGAGGTGGCTGCGAGAAAGAAATGCCGTCAGGAGCCCTCTTCATCCGCCAACCATCCGGCTTATATATTGTAAATACCACGTAATCTGATGACCTCCCGGCGACGGGAGTCCCTTCATTACCAGCGCGGGTGCCATTGTTCCGTAGGTATAATTGAATTCCCAAGGCAGCCACTGCCGCCAGCTAACCCTCATCCTCTCGACATCAGCGATCCGAGAGAACCGCCGATTCCACGTTGGAACTCTACGAGACCCTGATTTACCCCATTCAGTCGGGAATAATGCGATATCTCGTCCCCCCCCCCCGAAAGCCACGTCGAACCTCGACTCGAGAGAGCGGGGGTCATTTCGGCGGAGGAACGGGTTAGTCTAAGCTTGTACACGATTCCGAATGTCCATCCGTTCATCGCCCAAAGTCTTCCGCTCGTCTCCGCGAATGTCGCTTCCACTTTGAGCGTATGGACCAACAATGGATTCTATCGATGCACTCGAGAATAGTCGATAATTCGAAACTGAACGCCGAGCTCGACTGCGTTGTATTCCGCATAATTTCGGCTTCGACCGTAGATTATCAGAATTGCTCTTTGAACCATATAAATTTACGAAACCAGCTCGCAATGTACGTAAGGTTCGGGTGCTTACATAGAGTGCTTGCGTAAATAATGTAATTTGCATTAAACATGTACGGAATACTTTGAATTCACGATATTTTTTTTTTTTACACATAAATTTCCAATTTATATGGTATATTTATATTTATGGTATATTTTCAATTTGAAAAAAAAAGAATTTCGGAATTTGGTTTCCAAACTGTAAAGATTAAAAACAGTTTTTATCAATTTTTTTAAACTAGATTGAATGGAGATAAATCATCCGTTAATTGATTTGGTATTTTCGGTATAAAAATTTTTTACTGAGAAAATGCGCGCATTAATATTTCGGCTAACGTTTGTCATATTACATTATACATTTTCATGAATGACAGCTAGTGATCATTAAATTCTTAATGATCTTTCAAGTGTCAGAACGATCATTTCATCAGTGAATTGCCCGATTTACTTTACAGCACATCGAGTATTTCTACCATCCTGTCTCAAAATCTGGCGACAATAATTTTACTTGAGTACTTCTCATGTAGAATCAGCTATCACGTAATTCATACGTTAAATATGCATTACAACGCGCAATAAATATTGACTTTAATATATTGAAATTATGTATATAACTTTTAATGTATCAAAATTATTGTGTTAAACTCAAAACATGATTTTCCATAAATCTGCACAAATCTCACGCACATAAAAGTAATAAATTGGAAAAAAGATATTCTTTTTATTAAAAAAAAAAAAAAATACATTAAAAATTATTTTGCATTTTTTGTGAAAAATAATTTTTGTTTGCAGGAAAGTACAAATTTCTAAATGTTTCTAATCAATAGAAGTAATCGATTTAATTTGTTAAAAACTGAAACATTCGCATTTCATATATTTAGTCTCCACAATATGGACAATCATAAATTAGAATAGTTGACTTCATCGTCATTTATCAAAGACCGCTGACTGTCAGTTCGAGATGATAATAAAGCGTGTAACGTGGGAAACACGTCGCAGACATTCGCTAATCGTAAGCGTCAGGAGGACGTCGCAGCATTCAGAGACAGGATCACCTACGGCATCCTGGATGTTACAGTCTGTCGCGTCCATCCTTCCAGGATTCCATCGGTGAACATGAATAACAATGCCGATAACGCGTCGACGTCGTCGTATGCGTTGTCCGTAATTAACGCTCGTCAGACGCCTAGGGTGAAAAATTCACTTTTTCCCCGCTACATCTCCAGTGTACCGCGTGTATGATCTAGATGTCGAGGTGCCTTTATACGCCCATTTTACGATATCGACAAACGTGTACGTGTCCCTCGTACAAACGATTTCCTGCGCGACTAATTCCGTGATGCGTTCGTCATGTTCTCTATTTTGTTGTAGAAACGCGATGGAGTAATTCGACATTATTAATCGAGATAAAAAAACATATCACGCACACATAAACCGTAATACACTATTACACATAATTCACATAAACGGCTGATTAAATTGTACAGTTTTGTGACAGTTTAAGAATTAAGATGCAATAATTTAAAAGGCTACTATGATATCTGTACACACAAGCAAACGAAAGACCAAACATATGATATTGAAATTTATGGTATAAATTGTACTTTTTTTCTTCTCTTTGACGCTAATGACGGGAACCAATGGAGAGCCAATTTTCAATGGTCGGTGACCATTCCTCCAGAGTCGCGTAAACCATCTTTGCGGGAGGTACGCACAATGCG